CAAGAATACCGAAAACACAGTATTTTCTCAGTAATATTCAGAAACGAAAACATTCTCATGGCTGCCCGATTTACAGACTATTTCATCTGGATCTTATTTAACTAGTGCTGAAAAGCAATCAATTTTCAATATGTAATATGTCTAGAAAAAAGAAAAACAGATGTTTTACCGTTACTGTGGCGTCACCAGTTGAAAAAGAAACAATGCCAAAGAAAAAGATAGTGTGGTAGATTATATTTACCATAAATCTAGACGTGATTAAATCTATCGTAGATTATATTTACCATAAATCTAGACGTGGCACAAGGTAGGAATAAATATATATTTATTTTTATCTTTTTGTGTTCTGTAATGAAATTCACTTAAACAGTCATGTAATTAGTTTAGTAGTAGTGTGTACATTTGTGGTGTATATGTGCGTACACACATATACAATACAACAGCGGTTTCCAACCTTTTTTGACTTGCTTCCCCTTGACAGTCCATTTTTCTAAGTTTTATTTCCCATTTCCCATTTTCGCTATGTTTTATTTCGCGTGTTCGTCANCTATAAATAGCATACGTTAAAGCAGTAATAAACTGTCATCGACGGTTAAACTACAATAGAAATAATGTCATACTTATGCTGTATTTAGGAAGCCTGCATAAATGCATTTTAATAGTAGATTCGACTATATACTGGGTAGTTTTACAAATTTTCTGCTGTTTATTTCGTTTATTTTTTGCTAATATTTCAATTATTTTAAATTTTCCAAATACAGTTGTGCTTACCAGTGACCGAAAGGATAAAACTACCGAACACTGGTACTTGTCGTGAGTTCGTGCCTCACCAACAGCCTGGCTATCAGGAATTTTCTAAGTTCTTCATGTGTCTAATGCCTCAATAGGGACAATTTTCCCTAAAATATTCCTGGAAGACATTCTTCCAGGCAGATACTCATGTGTTACGTTGCCGTATCTCATTAAATCAAACCGAATACAATTATTATACGGAGATATTTTATAAATTATTTAAAATTTTTATACTATGATATCATTGTAATATGTAATTTTCCTCCGTAGCTCATCAAGATTTAAACTAGAACTTACGGATATAGAGCAAATGGAAGAAGAAATCGAAAGATTGCAAAATTTTTTTCTAAATACTAGTAGAGAAGTAGACGAGTTTTTATATAGCTATGAGAAAAGATTAAATGAAATGCATGACTCTGCAGAAAAACTTTCAAGCTTTTTATCGCCTACAGGAACTCCAAAAAGAACTACAGGTATGGAAATACTCTCGGGAGAAAAATCATTGTTGGACCAAAATGAAACGCAAACATCAAGCGGAAATAAAGTAATATTTCCAAATTCCTCACTCGAACAGTATACGTTATCAGGAGGAAGCCCTTATTCAAGTCTTCCAGAATTAAAAAGCATTTCAACAGGATCACTTTCTATGGCTCAAATTGTCGGAAAATCATCTCCAGAAACTGGAAACACTCAAAATATCGTAAGATCTGTTAAGGTTACTAAAGAACAGAAAAGTCCAATTGATGCAAGATCTACAGATGTAGAAACTATCCCTAAATCTGTCGTTTCTCCGCAAATTCGTGAAAATAAAGAAACAACCGTACAATCTATCAGAAAACCAATTACATCTATGCAAGTACCGCAACATTCAGGACCTATTAAAACTTCTCCAGATAAAATTCTAAGTACTCGTCCGCCTCTTAGTGCCATTGAAAGAGTAGGACCAATTCCAAAATATTCTGTCTCGCCAGGAACATCCGCTGACGTAAAAATTATTCCAGATTCAAAAGTATCTAAAATTAATGGAAAATCTTCTAAAATAACTAAGTATTCGGGATTATCTGTACACGAAAAGAAAACTACAGACAATGCCTCTTGCATATCAAATTTAGAAGTTTCCAAAAGTCATGTATCCCCTGATATAACAATAGGAACAGTTTCTGGTTCTGGCATTCCTTCCACAGTAACGCCAGATGTAACATCAAGTCCTGGAACTCAAATGAAATCTACCGAAGCGAAATCTTCTCAACATACAAAGGAAGATATATCTAACACGTGGCCTTGGTCAGTAAATCAATTAGTTCGTAATAAATCTGAAGGAAATCTTTTACATATTGAGTTTGATTTAAGAGAATATCCTCCTGAAGAAATTCGTGCGGGCGTAGTTAATAACTGTTTAATGGTAATAATTATGTTTTACTAAATTTGTCTGACTAAAACTATCCTAAATTATTATTATTATAAATTAATATCAGTTTCTTATAGGTAAGAGCAAAAAAGGCTACAGAAATAAATGAGCGATCAATCCAGAAAGAGTTTAATTACGATTTACGTCTTCCTGAAGGAACTAAAGCCGAAAATATCAAAATAGATTCGAGGGGAAATGGATTTTTCATTTTGCATGGCCCTCTTCCAAGTGTAATCGAAAAACAATAACAAAATGATATTTTGGAATAATACATTTTTAATATTTTCCTTCAAATTTTATGAATATTTAAAAATAAAATTATTTTAATTAAAACTGTAAGTCTCTAAAATTAAAGATTATTTCATAACCTTAGAGAGATTGGTATGTGTCAATGGACGTTTTAGTTATAGAAAACATTATGAATACAGTAGACCCCCCTATAACACTGTTGATAATTCCGTGTTATATGAATTCCATGTTGTACGAATCATTTAGCTTTCACAAATACGTGTGCTGGGCTGTGAACGGCTCACGTATTTGTAAAATCTAAGTGACTCGTACAACATGGAAATCATATAAAACGAAATTATCAACAATGTTATGAGGGGTCTACTGTATACTACACTAACAAATGGTTACTTAAAAGATATAACACTTCTTATGTACAGCACTATATTTTACGCAATAATATAGCTCTCTTATGACAAAATTTTAAACTGGTTTCTTTAAAAATTCATAAAACATAACACAAAAAGCTTTTTGTATTGTTGTTTTCCGCATTGTAATAAAACTTTTTTACTTTTCCGCCAGATGGAACTAGCTTACTATTCTCAAACTTTTTTCCAGTCAACTTGCTGGCGCCATCTTACGGTACGTTTTATTATTAATTGGAGAAAAAACAGAGGACGTCATTTGTTACCCTATATTTTATTTTTCCGTTTTAAATTTCAGGTTATGAATTACTGTATATAAGAATTTGTTATTACGCTACGCAACTTGTAAAAAATGTCGAAAACTATCTCCAAGTTAAGGAAAGTAAATGTAAAATATCAGCTTAAAAATGGCAGGGAATTTCAAAAAATTGCTCACAGTCGCACAGATAATTTAATCATGCAATACTTTTGGAAAATATTCAAGATTTGCGCTTCACAGCAAAAAGATTAAAATGGTAGGAAACATTGTTTAAAGTCTATTATTTTTTCGTAACGTTTCGGGAGGATCAATTTTATCCTCATCGATAAATACTCAAATAAAGATTTTAAAATAGAAACAAATAATTTTTTATTCTTGATAATAATATATTTTGTTTTCTGTTATTTCCTGCCATCAGGTGGCACCAAAAATTGGTGGGGAAAACAAATAAAGATGTCTTTTTCCTGTAAACTTGGTAGAAAACAATTACAAGTGAATAGTGGCTTCTCCGTTAATTGACTTAAAAAAGCTAATTAATGCTTCGATTCACTTGTAATTAGAAATGTATCCAACTATGGTTTTTGGTTCGTACACTTCTATAATAGCGAGGTTGCGGTCGAAGTTTTAAAAGCAACTGTATCTTGACTACTTTTTACCAATTGATAAAAGGATAACTATCATCACAACAGTCCCGTAACCATGAATAAATCATCGAAAGGTAGATTAATAAATGAGGAACAAGCTGAAAAAATGTATAATCCTATAAATAGACCCGGTATTAGTAAGCCTGTTTACTTGCCTTCCTCTTTATCATTTTAATTTCCCATCTTCTACAAGTTTAGTATGTTTGATTATTATTAAATTAATCTGTTATAAATAGGTTATATTATCTGATAATGCAAGACGAAGGTTTAACGTACAATAAAAAATTAAAATGTTATCACGACACAAAGAGAACAAGATTGTGACGAATGACTGGTGTATTTCTCTTTCTAGTCAGCACTATTAGCTACAGTTCACGAGTAAACAGTAACAGTAGCCTGCGTGATGAAAGTGAAAGCAAATATTATATACAGTATACTGTACTGTATATGGGTGCTTCTCACTACGCTAGGATCCATTATATTTTTTAGGAGGGTAGCCAGCTCTTATCCTCTGTAGTTAAAGCACGGCATCATAGAGCTAGTTGAAATCGTTGTTTTTTGTTGTTTTAAATGATAAAGTTATATAGAATAAATCCAAGAAACAGTAGCTTTGACTAATATCTTAATTTTAATACTAAATGCAAGTGATTATGAAAAGTAACTTTAGAAGGTCCATAGTTTAAAGGAACATTTAGTTCCTTGTAGGGAGTACCGTAACTAGGAGATAAAACAGAAGCCAAGACGAAGCACAGGCAAAGGACCCAAGACGAAGCACAGGCAAGACGATGGAAGGGCCAAAAATGGAGAATCAAAAATGATCAGTATTATATATTTATTTTAAAATTTTATATTTTGTCACCATGGAGACTGATTTCTAATGTCTTTGGTTTAAATTTAAAAATAACTGCCTATTTCTACATTTGTTTTTTTATTGTTTTTCAAAAAAGGGGTAACCGAGGGGAAAATAAAATCTTCACACATGAAAAGCTGCCTGCAGGACCTCCTTTTGCTTGGATACATGCGGTGATACGGAGGGGCATGGAACGATGCATATCGATAAATATGTTGCAGCATCATATGCTGCAACATATTTATCGATAGACGTTGGCCCTACACATGTTTATGCACAGCTGGTTCTACAAATACTCGATGGGCGACAAATCTTGATATTTGGCAGTAGTAACGTGATGCCTGAAAAACCCTAGCAGCTCAGTTGTGTGTGGCCAGGAATTATTTTGTGAAAAATGGGAGTTTGTAGTCCTGCCATGAGACAGAACATGAGGGAGTAAGATTTCCTAAACATACAGTACAGCTGTACCGTCAATGTCTCTCGCACCATTACTAGAGGTCATAAGAAGTGGTTTCCATTACGCCTGCAATGGGGCAGTGTTCAGCTCAATATCAAAGACGGGATTGAAGCGCTCGCCAATGATCGTCAGTTTCCAAACGGAACTGGGATTCGTCAATAAAGACGGTATGCTACTAGTCCGTGACAGTTCATGTTTCTCTGTTACGATACATGCAAACTACGCTACATGCAAACTACGCTAATTATGCTGATAACCGACTCAGCCCTCCGGTTTCGGAGCCCCTGCAGTATTCTGTAGCGAGGGCTGTCTGATGTATTTAATTGTGTCATAAAAACATACCTGGAATTTGAAGATTTCCAACAAGTATAGTGAAAATTCGAACAGAGTAAGCTCCAGCGAGTCTTTTTTTTTTATAAGATAATAGAGAGGTTGCGGCCGACATTTTCATTGCGAAAACGTAAACGTCGGACGTTCAGCACCGCCTTCCTGTAAGCCTAGAAGTTCGACAATGGCGTTTGGAACGTCGAGCATAATTCCACTGATGTTCTAAACGCCATTGTCAAACTTCTAGGCTTACAGGAATGCGGCACTGAACGTCCGACGTACACGCTTTCGCGTTGAAAACGTCGGCCGCAACCTCTCTATTAGGATAGTGGTTTTAAGGCAATGATGGCATTACCTAGCTTTCAATCGTGCAATGATTACATTTGTGGTTTACGACTATAATTGTTTACATGCCTATCTAAGACATATCTGTATATCGTGTTTCTCAGTAATCGGACAGGTCTGATTATCATATGTGAGTTACATTCATACTTCAATGACACTTTCAGGAAACAAACTTTCGGTAGTAGTCTGAATCTTATCATTAACATTACAAAAACTATTTGGTCCATCAGAATTAAATTGTTGTAATAGAGGTTTTTATTTTTGAAAAATCCAACGCATTAATACTATAATTTGTTTTTGGATAAATGTTACATAGAAGCTTATTTGTATTGGTAATTTCGTTTAGGAATGGACAAGGTTTACGAAGACGTAATGAAATTGCAATAACTTTTTGAAGCATTAAAAATTGAAACAGATAAATGCTTTGAAGAAATATTGAATCATATATCAACAGGGAAAATAATTTCTGAATCATCTAGCCTACCAGAATAAGCATATTTAAAAAGTATTTTCTAAATTTTCTAGTCATAAAGGTAAAAGAACAAAATTAAATTATAATTTATAATAGTTTTTATTATAAACTTTTACGAATTTCTTGTTAGTGTTGCTTGTGGTTTAACAGAATATAGTAGGGGAGAGCGGGGCTAAAAGTTCCCGTGGTAAGTTGTTCCGATTGAAATAGCTTCATAAGGAAAAAAAATAATAATAATTAGTAAATACGTCATAAAATCGAATGTTTCTGCGCATCGTCGGCAGCCATCTTAGTTAGGCCAGTAACGTCCAGTATATTGGAAAAGGAGCCTGTACGTCGCTGATCCACGTAAGTAAATATTTTCGTGTTTGATATTTTTGGTATATCTGGCGAATTTAAATAATTAGCGATTAGTTGTTTGGTATTTTTATTCAAAAATATATATGGTATCTTGATATAAACGCTAAAACCGTGTATGTCTCGTAACCTAATCTAGTAGTTGCTGTTTTGAACCCATGTGTTATTGGGGCTAGATGTTCCCTTCTTTGGGGGTATGTTGTGACCTTGGAACAACTTGCCCCAGTTCATCTGTACTGGCAATGCAGTAAAAATACAGTAATATTTTTTTTTTCCTTTTAGATCATGA